ACCCAGCAGTGCAGCCAGGGACATAAAATGCTGCCACTTGTCCTTACCAGCTGCCCCAAGCCCCCTGTTTGTCCCTCCCCCCCTCCAGGGTCCCTCCCTTGGGTCCTGCCCACTTCCCCTCCGTCCAGCAATGCAGGGTCGATGCCCGGCCAGGCAGTGCCTCCAGGACCCTGAACTCTCAGGGGGGTTGCTCAGGCCTGGGGTGTACCAGCTGTGGAATAATGGGAATGCACCTGTTGGTGAATTTACCTTTGGGCAGCTCCTGAGCAACTGCCGTGTGCCAGGCACTGGGAAGATGCCCAGAGTCGTGCCATCTTAGAGTCTGCAAACCCTCTGACCACTGGACACTGAGTCACAATCCAGACTCTTAAAGTGTAAAGGGAGCCTGGAAGTCCCCCTGGGCAGCTCGGGAGCGGGTGGCAGCCTGGCCTCAGGGGATGGAGGCAAGGGGTGCAAAGGATGTGCCTTTGTCCCGCACATGTTTCCTTTCTGCTGTCCCCTGCCTCGGGGAGAGGGCTCAGTGCCCACCCGGAAGCCTGTCTGGGTGGCCCGTGCTGACCAGGGCAGCTGGGATTACACCCAGCTTAGTGCGGACGTGTGCGATCACTGAGGCTCTCAAAATGCAGAGTTTGCAGGGTTAACGGGCTGGACGTCATCTGATTAGGGGCCCACACAAATGCTGCCAGGGCCTCAGGCCGTCTCGGTGGCACAGGGGAGAGGCAGGCAGTGTCGGGAGGCTGCGTGCAGCGGGAGTGGCAGCTGCCCCAGCACAATGCAGAAGCCTGGACATGGGCACCGGGGCTCAGCGCCCGGGTCCACCGCAGGGAAAGCAGCCGGTGTCCCGGCCTTGCAGATCAACCCACTGCTTTCTCACTGAAACCTCCCAGGGACCGTTCTTAAAGACCAGCTTTCTTGAGGTATAATTCGCATGCCGTACAATGCACCCATCTAAAGTGTACAGTTCCACACTTTCTAATATAGTCACACATATGTGCAACCAACACCACAATGGATTTTAGAATATTTTCATCACCTCAGGAGGGAACTTGTGCCCTTCAGCAGCCACTCCTCATTTCCCCCAGCCCAGTATTCCACCTTATGCCTCTACGGATTTGCATGTTCTGGATGTCGCCTCTAAGGGCGATCATGCAATATGTGGTCTTTTCTGACGGGCTTCTTTCACTTAACTTAATGCTTTCAAGGTCCATCCACGTTGTCACGCGCATCAACACTTCATTCCTTTTTATTGCTGAATAATATTCCATTACGTGGATAGGCTGCATTTGGTTTGTCCACTTGTCAGTTGATGGACATTTGGGTTGTTTCCACTTTTTGACTCCTGTGAAGGATGCTGCCGTGAGCATTGGTGTACAGGTGTTTGTGTGCACGTGTGTTTTCATTTCTCCTGGGTAATACCCGGGGGTGGAATAGCTCGGTGTCTCAGTCTGTTTGGGCTGCTAGAACAGCACACCACAGACGGCGTGGCTTACAAATAACAACATCTATTTCTCACAGTGCTGGAGGCTGGAAGTCCACGGTCAAGGCGCCCAGGGGGTCACCTTCTGGTGAGGTCCCTCCTCCTGGGTCAAAGCCGGTGCCTTCTCGCTGTGTGCTCACGGGGTGGAAGGGGCTAGAGCTTGCTCTGGAGCCTCTTTATAGGGCACTAGTCCCATCCATGAGGGCTCCACCCTCGTGACTGAAGCACCTCCCAAAGGACCCACCTCCTCTCAGCTTTTGGGGGTTGGATTTCAACATATGAATTTGGGGGGGGCGACACGCACACTCACACCAGAGCGCTGGCTCACATGGGAACTCTATGTTGACCATTTCGAGGAGCTGCCAGGCTCTCTCCCACAGGCTGCACCCTTTCACGTTCCCGCCGGAAGTGCATGGAGGTTCCCATCGCCCCACAGCCTCGCCAGCACTCGTGATGTCTCTATTTCTGTTACCATTCTAGACGGCGTGAAGTGGCACCTCACTGTGGTTTTGATTTGCGTTTGCCTGATGCCTAATGTTGCTGAGCATCTTTCCATGTGCTTGTTGGCTTTTGTAGCCTTTGCATTTTTATAAATTGCAAGATATAGCAAATGAGCAAAAAGCTCACAGAACATCTATGTTGACTTAAAAGAATAATTATAAAGCTCCCTGGTCAAGGAACAGAATGTTGCCAGCACCCCAGGAGTCCTCCCGGTAACCCTTGCCTCCTACCCCAGGGACAGCTGCTGTTCGATATTTGTGATCCTCTTTCTTTCCTTTTTATTCTACTTTCCCCTCTGCATGTGCCCCTGAACTGTATAGTCCAGTTTTGCCCACCTTTGAACTTGATGCAGATGAAATTATTCTATGGAAACCTTTCACGATCTCTTCTTTCCCTCCCCGCTGTGTTCCAAGGTGGACCCCCGTCGGTGTGGTTTGCTGTGGCTGTTCATTGTCACTGCCTTATAGTGTCCCACTGAGCACACAGGCGCTCCGCCTCCTCGCCAGCACTCAGTAGTGTCCGAATCCACTCTGCACGTCCCCCTGGCATCTCTGCGTGCAAGTCTCTGGCTGCACTAAGATCTCGATCAGCCTCGCGCCTCAGAAGCGCCTGCCTCACCCTGCCCCCGACACACCTCACAGCCCTGGGCCTCGCTCCTCCCCGCGCCCCTCAGACCAAGATGGGAAGGTGGGCTGAACATCTGGGAACCGTGTCCTCACCGACCACCAAAGGGCCGTCTGTGTTATTCGGGGTCCGCTCGTCCAGTCCCAGCTGCGCGTGTGGAGGTCATACAAGGGCGCCAGCATAGAGTAGGTGCTCTCTCACTCCAGGTGTCCTGGAACCAGAGTGTTCACCCACTGAATCTCTGTCCCAGAACACTCGGAATGCTTGCAGTCCCGCTGGCTCGTCTGATTTCAGACACGGTGGGTGAGACACGGTGCCCCTCCCCGCCTCTTGAGTCTCCTCAAGCACTAGACGCCTCCTCCTGAGAGCAGAGCTCTTAGGGCCGGGAGGATCCTGAATACAGACCATCCTTGGAGACAGGGCCCTTATCTTGTCACCTTTGTGTCTCCAGCCCCCCACAGGCCGGGCCCAGAGGCAGAACTAATGACTATTTTCTGAATGTCTGATTTGGTTGCAGCATCCTGACTTTTGTCAGAAAAGCTGGAATTGCCTTCATTCCGTGTTTCAGTTAAGGCAGCTGAGGCTCAGAGAGGGAGTGTGACAACCCCGCGGTCACATAGCAGTAAGCAGCCACCACGCACCTAATTCACACCCCTCAGCAAGAAGACCCTCCGCTCCGAGTGTCTCACAGACCAGCTCTACAAGTTAGCTGAGCCTCAGTTTCTTCCTCTGCAGAATGGAGTTATACTAATCTCCTGGAGTTAAATAAGATGCCACAAAAAAAGCGTGGGCCCAGCATGTGCGCAGGTGATTAATAAATGTCCAGTCCTTTACTCTCTCGTTCACCTATTCTGTCACAGAGAACAGGCAAAAGCAATTGAAGGACCATGAAAGGGCTCACACACTATGACCCAGAAACTGTGCTCACCCCATCCTAGGCCCGGTACCCAGGAGGAGCTTAATAATGTCTGTTAGGATGAATCAGGATAAAGATGATGGGGAAGGAAGAGAAGCTTTATTTCCAAAGATTTTCCTTCTCCGTTACTTATAGCTAAAAAAAAGAAGAAGGAAGGAAGGAAGGGAAAGAAAAGATTTAAAAAAACAGAAAGCAACCTAAATATCCTCTACTATGGGGTGGTTGGTAAATGCTGCCGTCTTTTACTGCTGGACTATTCCACAGAGGGGTCAGCGAAATACAGCCTGTAGGCCATCTCTGGCCCACTGCCTAAACATGTCGATAAAGGGTAAATGAAAACCAGTCCTTAGTTTTGCCTGGCCTTGAACTTCGTATAAATGGAATCACACAGGATGTTCTCCTTTGTGTCCAGTTTCTTTCCCTCTCCATCTTGGAGAGCTGTCCTTCTTGCGGGTATTAGTAATTCACGCTCTTGCACTGCTGTCTAGTACTTTGTTGTACACTTATAGTTAAGTACTGTTTCTATCACCATTGTAACATGGGGACTGCAGCACAGAGGGCTGAAGTAAGTTGCCCAAGGGCACACAGCAGGTTCATGGTACATCTGGAATTTAAACCCAGAATCGGTGCTTTATATTGCCTGTATAATGCTGCCTCTCACACTGTGATGATGGAAGCCCAAGGGGTATTGGGAGCTTAGAAGCAGGGGTACATCCTCTAGCCTGGGGAGTCAGAGAAAGCTGCCAGGGAAGGTTAAATCAGAGCTAGGGTTTTCCCAGACTCAGATGTTCCCGGGCCTAGCAGGTGTCATAAGTGGTCAAAGCAGATGACTTCTGAGAAACCACAGCTCGAGGTCAGGGAAGCAATAGGGAGTAGTGAGGACTATGGCAAATTGAGGGATGCCAACCTGTGAAGGAGGCAGCTGCTGGTACAGCTCTGGGTACTGTTGCCATGTGACAATGCTGGCAGAGACTGTGGTGAGCCAGGACACCACAGGACTGCCATGCTGGCAGTTGTGGCCAGCTTCTATGCTGGGAGGTCAGTGCCCAGCTGCACCAGGTATTAAATAATTTGAATATCACCCAGTGTTGTCAGATGCCCTTTCTGTTTGCCAAAAAAGGCTGGAAGTCTGTCTTCTAAAGTGAACTCCTCTGGTTTTTAAATGTTGGTTCAAAATTGATTTTAAATCTGTGTAGGCCAAAGAGAACCCGTGTGGTCTGGACTGGCGTGAACTGATCCACATGCCGTCTAAGGAACACATGGGAGTTGGGAGGCAAGAAGGGCAAGGGAGGGCCAGGTGGAAGGCACAGCACAAAGGCTGGAGGCGAGAGGGATTTGAATCCAGGTCTGAGTTTCCTACACTAGATAGAAAAACAAAAGCCAAACCCGGCTAGGTGGGATAGTGGGTGGGCCGGCCTGGGGGCTGCACCTGGCGGTTGCGTGCAGTGACGTGCGCTGTGCTCTTCCCCGCCCGCCCCGCAGATCCTGGAGGAGAACATGAAGCTGGAGTGTAAGTGCCACGGTGTGTCGGGCTCGTGTACCACCAAGACGTGCTGGACCACGCTGCCACAGTTTCGGGAGCTGGGCTACGTGCTCAAGGACAAGTACAACGAGGCCGTCCACGTGGAGCCCGTGCGTGCCAGCCGCAACAAGAGGCCCACCTTCCTGAAGATCAAGAAGCCGCTGTCCTACCGCAAGCCCATGGACACAGACCTGGTGTATATCGAGAAGTCGCCCAACTACTGCGAGGAGGACCCGGTGACGGGCAGCGTGGGCACGCAGGGCCGCGCCTGCAACAAGACGGCGCCCCAGGCCAGCGGCTGCGACCTCATGTGCTGCGGCCGCGGCTACAACACCCACCAGTATGCGCGCGTGTGGCAGTGCAACTGCAAGTTCCACTGGTGCTGCTACGTCAAGTGCAACACCTGCAGCGAGCGCACCGAGGTGTACACGTGCAAGTGAGCCCGCGGCCCGGCTGGCCGCCTCCCGCTGCAGCTTCGCCTGCGGGAGGACCGGACTGCAGTCCCCCTGGAGGTCACCTCCCAGACCTTCCCGGGGAACCGCAGGACACTGAGCTTGTCTTTTCTGCTGAGGGGGCCCCTCTCCTGGGTCTCCCGCCGGCACCTGTGGTAGAGATGGCTCCGGAGCCCTGACCGTTCCATTCCACGCCCAGCGCTGCTCCTCCCGCCCCAGACCCACCTGGGGCCCTCCTCCTCTGGAGCACAGCCTTTCGCAGCAGGAAGTCTGGACCCTGGGGCCTCATCATAGCAATATTTAACAATTTATTCTGATAAAAAATAATATTAATTTATTTAATTAAAAAGAGTCCTTCCACCTCGTAGGGATCCGTTTTCTGCAATCAAAGTGGGCCGCTTGCTTCCCCTGCGGGATGACGTCGCTAGGACCAGGACCCAAGAGAACTGTACCCTTATTCTGTGTGCAGATGGCTCTGCTAGGTGATTTCGCAGGACCCTTTTGCCGCAGTAGATGTTTCAGTCCAGAGCAGACGTCCTGTAAGCATATATAGATATATTTACATACACTTTTATATGTTTTTGCTGTTGCTGCTACTTATCCAGAAATTTAAGCTGGTCCAGATTTGGAGACGTTTTCCAGAATACGTTTCCCACTCTTTGGTCCCCCCCAGCTCAGACTTCGCCATTAGAAAAACCCAGTTTGGAATAGAAAGAGAGAGGAAAGATAATAATAAAACTCCCAACGGTTTTCATCTTTTGGAAAGTGAGCCACTGGATGAGAGAGAGTATTTTGTAAGAGACTATTTTTATATGAATATTTTATTTATATCGAGTCTGCCTGTATCATTCCGTGGCCTCTGCTGCTGCTTAACTCTGGTACTCACCTTTGGGTAAGGAGAGGCGAGGCCTGGCCCTGGGGTCCCGCCCCACGGGGCCCCTCACGTAGCTGGGTTCTCGAGTTCTGTTGGCCAAGTGGACAGAAGAGGCCCCTGGCTGCCGGCCTGCAGTGTCATCGGTTTTCCCTGGGAGAGGAATCAGATCCCCAGCCCCAGCCTGGTAAGCTCAGGCCTTTTGAGCAGGGTCACTGAGTGGTGACCTCATGATGAGCAATTTGGGGGCAGGCCGGTGCCCTCGGCGTTGCACGGCCGTCACAGGGACTCAGTCATCGCCGCTCAACAGAAGCCAGCTCAGGAAGCCTACCCCTCAGCAGGACACTCTGCCGTTACCGTGTGTCATGGGGGGTGAGGCACAGCCCTCAGTGATGGGGCAGGAAAGCTAGGGCGAGGCGTCCCATGGGCAGCAGGGCCCACAGGGCTCCCTGGATGTCATGGTCCCAGGGCAGACCAGCAGAGGGAGGCATGGACGAGGCCTCTCTGCCCTGGGTGCACCTGTGTCCAGTGCCTCTCAATCTGGAAAGCTCTCCTCCAGGAGGCTGTGGGGGTTCCAATATGTGTCCGCTTGCATTTCCGTGTGTGTGTGTGTGTGTGTGTGTGTGTGACTTTAGGGGTTCCTGGGGTAGTCATGTAACTTGGGGACCTCTGGGGTGCTGATGTGTGTACGTCTTGTGTGCTCCTGCGTGTACCTGCCATCTGTGTGTCTCCCTCCGCGTGTCTCAGAGACTCTGGGTGATGTGAGCATGTGAGTGTGTGCCTGTGCACCTGCCGGTCCCAGCTGTCTCTGCTTGCGGTTGAGGGCTGATGGAGTGAGACGGACTGCAGGGACCTTTGGCGATTGTGTTGAGCCACCAAGAGATGGCACTTCTCTACTCTGTGCCCACAGACACTGGTGAAACTCGGACACCTCTGAGACCATAGCCCCATGGCCCCACACGCCGGGAGCCCTCCCCTGTGTAGGCCGTGTTGGACTCCCCAGTGTCAGCACTGGGCCTGGATCACAGCGTGGACGAATAAAATGGCTGGATGGTTGGTTGATTTCTTCCCTTGAACCTTTTTTGATTCTTTTCTTGGGTATTGGGATGAGTAAGCATGTGAAGGAATGAGTGGATGGATGGATAAATAGGTGGATGGATGGGCGGATGGACAGATAGATAACTAGGTAGGTGGGTGGATGAATGGATGGGGCGTGAATGGATGAGTGGAGGGTTGATCAATAGATGGGTGGATAATGGATGGGTGGGTAGGTGGGTAGGTGAATGGATGGATGGTTGGGGAGGTGAGTGGGTGGGTGGGTGCGGGAGGAGAAAATATACAGCACTTTCTTGAAGCCCCCGTGTCACAGTTTATCTCTGCCTTGGAAAGCCTACAGTGTCTACCATGAGCAGAGGCTTCCCAAGTCTGCAGTCCCTCTGCTCCTGGCCTCATGGCACCTGCGAATGGGGGAGGTTCTGACCAGCCTCCCCAGATGACCATTTAACATTAATTAGGTAAACACGGTATCAGAAGTCACCACGAGGTCCTCTCTTTTATCCAGATGAGGAGTAGGCTGGCATGCGGGCAGCCGGGCCTGTGAGAAGAATGGCCAGGTCGGCTGCCAGTGTCCCCTGGCCCCTTAGCACACTTAGTTTCCAGCCCTGGCGCTGGCCCTTTCTCTGAGGTGCCCAGCTCAGCTGGGCTCTGAGCCTCAGTTTCCCCATCTGTAAAAGTGGGATGATAGTGCCTACCTCACAGGGCTGCTGCGGGGGTCCCCCCAGTACTGGCTGTATGGCACTTCGAGTTGCAGAGCAATGGATGGATGCTAAATATTATCATTATTGATCATTACTGAAACTATTCTCTCATAATGAGAAGATGCTTCAAACACAGCTTATGGTAATAAATATTTGGCTCTGCGTTGGGCAAAGGTATGTTCCCCTCCTTGATTTATTCCTAAAGTGGCTTTTCAACAAAACTGACATTAAAAAGGCCAGAATCTTAAGAGATTGGATCAAAACATCGGAAAGCCCAGGACTGTGGTGTTGACGGCTCCGCTGTCTGCGGCCCGGGTGGTCGCACGGCTGCAAGAAGTGAGGTGCTCAGCACAGCCCATCGTCGCCATGTGGGAATGTGGGCCTCCTCCAGGCCAGACCCTCAGATTTTTCAAGAAGAACTGAAGGTTTTTTTTAAGTAAAATGTCCCACTTTTTCAGCATGTGGACAAACAGATGAGGATGGAGCAAAACATGACTGCAGCTGAACTTGGCCTTTGTGCCACCAGCATGCAGACTCTGACTTGGACCAGATCTCTTGTTTTAAAGATGGAGAAACTGAGGCCCAGGGAGGGGCAGGGCTTTACGCAAGGCCACACAGTGAGTCCAGCAGAGGGAAGACCGAGGCCAGGACCTGTGCCTCCCGGGGAAGGCCTTTCACCAACACGGAGCACCCCTGAGGCTGCAGAATAACGTGGGGGCGGGTGGAGACGGACAGACTTCCCATGTGTTCTTCAGATGTACACATATGTGCACACACACCCCCTCTGAACTTAAGTTAAAATTGCTCAAGGCCCACAGGACAGGATCTGGGCCTTCCCAAAGGTCCTGAAGGGATGGGCCCGTGCCCTGAACCACTCTGCAGGCGGTGCCCTGGCAGCTGGCCAAGGGAACCCCAAATCCCCTGTCCCCCCCACCCAAACCCCTCCAATACAGGGACTCCCTCAGCAAGACCGGGCTCAGGAGGGTCCTGGGGAAAAGTCTTCCTCCAGCTGAGGGGCAGCCAGCCCCTGCCATTTGCTGTCACAACTCCCAGGAGACCTCTCGTCCCACCCACAGGGGAGCACGGGCTCCGGGAAGAGCAGGGACCTCTTGAAGACCCCAACCCCGGGAAGTGAGGGACCAAGGGCTGTGGCCCGGGCTGGTCCGCGTCAGCCCAGAGCACTTGGTCCTGGGCCTTCCACCACCTCCAACGGAGGCTTAAGGAAGACAGAGAGAAAGGATTCTGGCTGTGGGCAACACAGGGCGCCCGAGTCAGACACCGACAGTTGTCGTCCACTCCTCCCTCCCCCTGCCTGGGCGCATCCAATAGGTCACCCAGCTCTGGCACTTTTCCCTGGGGCATCCCGCTGTCCACCCACCCTCCTCACTGACTCTGGCTGCCAGCGTCTTTCGCCTGGAAGAATGCTGCAGCCTCCTCCCAGGTCTCCCTGCCTCCACTCACATTCTGTCAAGCCAGCCTCCAAGCGCTGACCAGACCAATCCACTCCCCATGTACTACCAGCTGTGGCTCCCTATTGTCCTGCAGATAAAGACCAAGTTCCTTAGCCCCTTACAACCTGGCACTTGCCAAGCTGGCCCTTTCTGCACAGCAGCAACAACGTCATTTGTGAAGTAGTTGCTCTATGCTGGGCAAGGTTCTAGCAGTTTCCATGCCCTCTCTCTTATCCCCCCCCGCCCCCAGTACACTTTGCTTCCTTACTGTTTCCCCTGCCTGGAGCACCCACCTTCCTTCCGTCCACCTGACAAACTCCAGGTCCTCTGAGGAGCCTTGCTGCGCTGCTACAGACGGGCTGGGGTCTGGGGCCAATCCTGCCAGGGCGGCCCTGCCCTTGCTCTTGTCCTGAGCTGTTCTTCCTCTCCCTCCCCCGCCCGCACAGAGCTTCAGAGCTGCTTTCCAGCTGGAGGCAGGGAGCCGAAGGGACTCACCCACGCGAATCACTGGCAGGCACGACCCCAGCCCCACGACCAGGGCTCTTTGCTTGCTGGGGGAAGTGTATCAGTCAGCGGTTGCTGAGTAACAGACCACCCCAGCCCAATGACTCCAGGCCTTCACACAATTTTATTAAGCCCCAGAGTCCGCAGATGAGCTGGGCGGGTCTTCTGATCTTGGCCGGTTCCCTCGTGCACCACTGGTGCGCTGTGGGCCAGGGAGGCAGCCCTGCTGATCTTGGCAGGACTCTGTCGTGTGTTTTGGGGTCAGGGGCTATAGGCTGATCTGGAATGGCTTCAGCTAGGACAATGGGGCTCTTCCACATGGTCGTGTCCTCCAGTAGGGTAGCCCAAGCTTGTGCACTGCAGGGGGACGGATTCCAAAGACAGGAGAGGGAGCTGCCGGGCTCCTTGGGGCCCAGGCCCCGCACTGGCACTCTGTTCGTTCCACCGCATTCTACCGGCCAAAGCCAGACAGGGCCGCCCACATTCCAGCGCGGGAAGGAGATGCCACCTCTCATGGGAGGAGCTGCGCAGTCACAGAGCCACGGGCCTGTGAAGGGAGGGGACCAGGCCACAGGCCCGGTGTGAAGGCGCTTACGCCCCCTGTCCTGAGCAGGAGAGAGGCCCAGCACTGACCACGTGGCAGGGACACAGCCACCTTTGATGGACCCTCCCGCCGGCCCCACCCCGGAGCCTCAGCCTCTCCGCCTCCATCAGCGGCCTGATCCTGAAGTCAACCGCGGGTCTTGTCTTCCTCTGCCCTCATCCATCAAGAAATCCCACTGACTCTGCCTCAGAATACATCCAAATCTGACCATCTGTCTGTGTACCCACCGGCCGTTCCTGGCCCTTAGCTGGCTGAACTCCCACCCCCAGGTCCCTCTCTGCCGGGTCGCCCCACTAGACCACCTCTCCCATCTTCCTGCAGTTGGGAGCGGCCGTGTGATGGCTCTCAACCATGGGGCGGGGTGATGTGCTCCACCTCCCAGCCCAGTAACACCTCCCATGCTCTTGCCCTTCCCCTGGCTTGACGGCCACCCAGGGAGCCATGGGGTGTGGACAGTGGAGCCACAGCAGGAAGGGCCCTGGGTCTCTGAATGGCCCCTGGAGGAGAGCCACCTGCTGATCAGGAACCCCACAGGAAAGAAATACATGTGTGTGGTGGGAAGCCACTGAGATTTGGGAGTGCATCTCATAGCACAGAGCCCCCCTGTCACCAGGCTCCAGCCACAGTGGGCTTCCTTTGTTCTTCACACATGCCATGTTCTGTTCTACCTCTGGGCCTTTGCACATGCTGTCCCTTTGACCTTTATGTGGCTGGCTCTTTCTTTAATAAGACTCAACTCAAATGCCAACACTTCAAAGATATACCCCCAATCACCCTGGCTTCCATCACCCTCATCCACTATTTTTATTTCTTTGTGGCATTTACGACTATTTGAAATGACATTTCTCATTTATCAGAGGCTGTACAGTATAGTGATTAAGAGCATGAACTCTGGAGCCAGATGCTCTGTTGTTCAAATCTGCCTCTGCTATTTACTGCTCTGCGGTTTAGGGCAAGGTACTTAACCTCTCTGTGCCTACATTTCCCCAGAAATTCATTTGGGAAATTACATTTCCCCATTTGTAAAATGGAGGCAGTAATGTCACTGTGAGCAAATGAGCTAACAGATATAAATTTCAAAACACGATGCCTGGCCCACTGCAGAGGCCGTGGGAGTGTGAGGTTTGGGTATTAACGTGTTTTTTAAGTTTCATGAATATGGGACTTCATCTGTCTTTATTGCCACCGGGTCTCCAGAGCCCAACACCCAGTTGGGATTAGTAAATATTTGTTGAATAAGAACGAATGAAGATTGGAGCGTGTTGCCAGACCCACCATGCCCCTGTCTGGGCCCAGGCTGGGGGACAGTGGGCTCAGGCCAGCTGCTGGAACCAAGGAGCTGGGGCACAAGATGTGGCCTGTCCCGCGCTTTGCCTGCCTGCCCAGGGGTGGAGGTGCAGAGACAAATCAAGCCCCCTCGATGTGGCCACAGGCACATCTGCTCCATTGACAAGGTGGCCACTGGTTGCCACAACAACACTCCTGGCCCCAGAAGAATGTGCTGGAGACAACAGGAGAACTCTGCAGCCACCCCCAGCTCAGCCCCCAAGATGCAAGCCGCCTCTGACCCAGAGAAAGCATCACACCACACGCTTGTGTGTGCGCACACACAGACCCACAGTCGCACGTGGACACTGACCAAGAGACCCAGAGGGCCCTGCGCACACCCAGAGGGCCCTGCACACACCCAGAGGGCCCTGCACACACCCAGAGGGCCCTACACACACCCAGAGGGCCCTGCACACACCCAGAGGGCCCTA